GCGTGTAACAAAGTTGCAGCCAGAAGAGGGGGAACTCTGCAAAGCAAGAAGTCAATGACTAAACTGAAGCCATTCTCTGCTGTGTTTAATAGTCTGAATGATGTAGTTATTGGGTTTGGGTGTGGGGATCATGAATATCAATGCTAAGCAAAATTGTTTCTTGTAAAAAATGAATACAGGAGGTGACTGGAGAAATGAGAGGGGAATGTCCTAAACTGTATAGAGAAAATGTTATTAGGAACATGTATAATGAGTTTTATGAGAAAATAGAAAGAGCATGCAGGTGCTTGTTCTCACAGACCCTCCCTTGCCTTACACAGGAGTGTATGATGAAACTGGTAAGTACATAGTTAATACTACGGCAAGTGGACTGATGTACAAGCACTGACATTCTTACAAAGGTTAGATGTTATGCCCCTGCTTGGAAATATAGAACAAAGGAACAAGGAACTTTTAACATTAGGCAATGCAATAGGTCCTGTAAGAAACATTTTAAAAAATCCATTAACCTTAAAAATCTTAGACTTTTTGTCTAGCAACTTTAGATAAGATAAGCAAGTTTCATATAGCTGAGGCATTCACTATGCATAGAGGAAAGATTAATGGGAAGGTTATGATGAGGCCATGAAAGGAAAATGAAACAAAACATGATTAATAGAGAAAGGTTATGCATAGACATTCACTTGTGATGTGCTCTTTCTCTGAAAGAATAGAGGCTTAGAAGAAGGCTAATGAAGAATATGTGTAAAAAGAGTATAAGGTAAAGCTGTGAGAAGGAACAGCAGAATGATGCCTCCCCTTGCTAATTAAATCTCATCTCCTTATCTTGTCTCTTCACTGGCACCCCCCCTCCTTCGGACCTTGGACCTGCCACGGCTGGACCATGGCAGTTTTGTCCTGGCTGTGTCTCAGTTGTTGCTGGTATTTGGGGAAATGAATGAGAAAATAGAAGAGCCCTCACTGTCAACTTTCTGTCTCTCTCTCTCTCTAATACTTTTTTAAAAATGTTTAAATATCAGTGTTCTAATACCTCTTACAGTAACACAGTACCTTCTTGTCATTCTTCATATTCAGGATTCCTTTGGAAGTATTCAATTATTTGAAATGAATTTTGAATACCTATTTAAATTTAAGAAAAAGGTATAGTTAGTTTCAAATAGTAACTGAGAAAACTTTTAATCAAAAACACGATCCCAAGTTAATCTATCCAGGTACATTTGGGACTGAGCCAGCAGCTGAAAGATTTTCTCTCTCTCTCTCCTCCCTCCATTCCTATCTGTATGTAGCTCTGCATTTAAAATAAATAATCATACAAAAATTATTTTCAAGACAAATGCAAAACAGAAACAGTTTGAGACATAATACAAACCTAAATAACTAATCTCCATCAGAGCTGCACTTCAGGAAATGTTCAAAAGTTTCTTCCAGAGGAGGAAAATGATGCCAGATGGAAATACTTGACTACATGGGGTATGTACTCTTTAGAATACTATACCGCAGTAAGAAACAATGAAATCCAGTCATTTGCAAAAAATGGAGGAATCTGGAACACATCATGCTGAGTGAAATAAGACAGTCCCAAAGGGACAAATACCATATGTTCTCCCTGATCGGTGACAACTGACTGAACACCAAAAAGAAAACCTGTTGAAGTGAAATCGACACTATGAGAAACAGTGACTTGATCAGCATAGCCCAGACTGTTAATGAACAACTTAATACATTATCCCTCTTAGTAGTTTTTTTTTGTCTGTTCTACTTAATATGACTGGTTTAATTCTGTAATTAATCCACAGTTATTCTTAAGTGTTGAAATTTAACTGAAATGTGATCCCTGTTAAACATAAGAGTGGGGATAAGAGAGGGAAGAGATGTACGATTTGGGACATGCTCAAGCTGACTTGCCCCAAATGGTAGAGTTAGAAGCATACCAGGGGACTCCAATTTAATCCCATCAAGGTGGCATGTACCAATGCCATCTCACTAGTCCAAGTGATCAATTTCTGTTCACAATTGATCATAATGAAAGGGCTAATAGTCAAAGGGAGCTCATAAACAATGTAGTACCTGCTAATATTAACCGATAGAATAAATAAGGGGAGAGTGATCCAACATGGGAAGCGAGATACTCAGCAGACTCATAGAATGGAAGATGTCCTAAACAGCACTCTGGCCTCAGAATCAGCCCTAAAGGCATTCGGATCTGGCTGAAAAGCCCATGAGAGTATTTCAGGCATGGAAAGCCAAGACACCCTTGCAAAAAAAAAAAAAAAAAAAAAAAAACACCTAAATGAAAGATCTCTGTGAGTGAGATCCCAGTGGAAAGAACAGGTCTTCAAAGAAGGAGGTACCTTTCTCTGAAGGGAGGATAGAACCTCCACTTTGAATATGACCTTGTCTAAACAAGATAAGAGTCGGAGAACTCAAGGGGCTTCCATAGCCTTGGAAACTCATGACTGGTGCATAGGGAGATTACTGATGCCATAAACAGGAGTGTCAATTTCTAAAGTCAACAACAGGAGTCACTGTGCACTTACTCCTCATGTAGGATCTCTGTCCTTAATGTGCTGTACATTGAGGCTTAATGCTACAGTGAGTACTCAAACAGTATATTTCGCTTTGTGTTTCTATGGGGGTGCAAACTGTTGAAATCTTTACTTAATGTATACTAAACTGATCTTCTGTAAAAAAAAAAAAAAAGAAATTATTAATTCCCAACTTGACTCTCGCTGGGATTAAACATGACAATAGGTCTGATCTGATTTCATCATCATTTAAAAAATCATCTATTATTTTTCACTTTATGTTTGTGTGGGAGCTAACTGTTGAAATCTTTACTTAATGTATGCTAAACTGATCCTGTATATAAAGAGAATTGAAAATGAATCCTCATGTGAATGGAAGGGGAGAGGGAGTGGGAAAGGGGAGGGATGCGGGTGGGAGAGATGTTATGGGGGGAAGCCATTGTAATCCATAAGCCGTACTTTGGAAATTTATATTAAATAAAAGTTTAAAAAAAAAACTAAATGAAAGATCTCTGTGAGTGAGATCCCAGTGGAAAGAACAGGTCTTCAAAGAAGGAGGTACCTTTCTCTGAAGGGAGGAGAGAGCCTCCACTTTGAATATGACCTTGTCTAAACAAGATAAGAGTCGGAGAACTCAAGGGGCTTCCATAGCCATGGAAACTCATGACTGGTGCATAGGGAGATTACTGATGCCATAAACAGGAGTGTCAATTTGTAAAGTCAACAACAGGATCACTGTGCACTTACTCCTCATGTAGGATCTCTGTCCTTAATGTGCTGTACATTGAGATTTAATGCTCTAACGAGTACTCAAACAGTATATTTCCCTTTGTGTTTCTATGGGGGTGCAAACTGTTGAAATCTTTACCTAATGTATACTAAATAAAAATTATTGATCCTGATCCCTGTTGTCTGGAAGCCCAGTCATGATTCTTAATTGACTTATTGATTCGTGTCTCACATTAACCACTCATGAAGTGGTGAAACCCAGGTAATGTGCCAGGTGGGCTAGTAAGATGGGTAAGTCAGGGCTCTTCAGAGAAGTGATTTTCATTATTAACTAATAGTTTCATGCTTACCCACTGCTTTGTAATACATACAGTGACATAACTATAGAACAGGTAGACAAATCAGCAGCCATTCTTCTACAGGAAAATTAAATTAGGTCATTTATCAACTGCTGGGTGATTTCAGATAGTTACTTATCTCAAAATGAAGCCTCCACTGCATGTGTCAAATCTGTAGCTCAGCCCCTAAAGTTCCCTCAAGTTTGGGAGCATAATTAGTCAGTTTTGTTTCTCCTGTCTTCCTGATATGCTATTTTAATTTTCAGAAATTTCCAACAAACCGAGAAAATGGCCTTTAGTCAGGTATGGCTCAATAAAATGATTTATTTTTCTTCCTTGGAATAAAGTAGTCACTTGTTCAAAGCAATTAACTTTGATCTTCTGTACATATAGTTAATTGAAAATGAATCTTGATATGAATGGAATTGGAGAGGGAGCAGGAGATGGGAGGGTTGTGGGTGGGAGGGAAGTTTTTGGGGGTGAGCCACTGTAATCCAAAAACTGTACTTTGGAAATTTATATTTATTAAATAAAAGTTAAAAAAAGAAAGCAATTAACTTGACAGAACAGGCTCTAAAACTAATAAAATAAATGTTCTCTAGATTAGTGTGTAATATGATCATGGTTCTATAATAATAATAACCAGCAACCATATGTGATTATATGGATAAAGAAAAAAGCACATAAGGACCCACAATAGATGCTAACATTGGTTAACATGGATGTGAGCATTCAGATGAGGTGAAGAGTGCACAAATTTTCATAAGATCTAATACATTATTTATGTAATGCGTATAACATTTCAAAAATTACTTTAGCTGTTTTGTAAATATTCACTTGTTTAATCGCATAATAACTATTTGACATTGGTTCATTGTTATCTCCACTCTATAGATGAGAAAAATAAGACCTGGGAATTCTATTATCACTTGGGCAATCTGAGTATGTGGCAGTGCTGAAATTTAACACCATTGACTGGGCTCACCTGTGTTATGCTCTGCAGTCAGTATTAAAGGAGATACCAACAAATAAGAGTTTCTCATGGTAGTGAGATTCCAGATAATTTTTTACTCTTTCAGGTATTATTCTGATATCTTATGAAGAACATGAATAATTAATACAATGGGAAAAAATAAAAATACTAGTTTGGTACATCAGATCAGTACAAGGTCTAATTTATTCATTTAGAAAGAATTTGTTGAGTTATTGCTATATTCTAATAAGTATGTTAAGAACTTTACATATATGTGTGTGTGTGTATATATATATATATGGCTTTAATTTTTAGTGACAATTTACATGATAATTAGGTATTTCAGTGGGAAGCAAGAGACTTGAATATCTGTGAAAATCTTCTGAAACAGTTATTTTCAATTTTCATTTTCATTTCCATTTATAAGACCCCTTCTGTCCAGATTTTTCCAAAAATTTGTACCACTTCATAAGCATTCCTGGAGTCTATGTAAACATCCCCTCTTGGCCCTCAAGAAGTTTTAGAGTGTGATTGAGGGTATACAACTCAGAGGTCTGAGCAGATAGGTTTATAGGTAATCTGTCATTTTCACATATTGAATGACTATTACCATCCATAATTGCATAATCATTATATTTCCCCTCCATGACTCAAGTTTAACCATCACAGAGAGCCACATCCCCTCATGTAAAGGACCATCTCTCATATCTGCTTTCATACTCTACAATACCTTAACAGTTATGATCAGGTATTGTTTTACAGGCTCCCACCTTTTATAAAATTCAGCTAGGTTTGTACAGCATTGATTGTTAAATTAATCTTTTCCAAAAGAATGACCTCCTATTTTAAATTCTGGAATTAGTCAATTATATTTATCTCTTTGGTTTAGATTTTTTTTTGAAAGATAGAGTTACAGAGAGAGGTAAAAACAGAGAGAGGTCTTCCATCCGCTGGTTAAATCCCCAGATGGCTGCAACAGCCAGAGCTGCACCAATCCAAAGTCAGGAGCTGGGAGCTTCATCTGAGTCTCCATGTGGGTGCAGGGGCCAAAGCACTTGGGCCATCTTCTACCACTTTCCCAGGCCATAGTAGAGAGCTGGATTAGAAGAGGAGCAGCTGGGACTAGAACCAGCACTCATATGGGACATTGGCTCTTCAGGCCAGGGCTTTGACCAAATAATTTGGGTGTTTCAGTCAATCATTGAAGCAATGCAGTCCACCTATTTTGTTTTTCTTCCCCCGTTCGGATTTTCCACTGATAGGCAAAGTGGTTTCTGCTTTCTGTGTCTGGTGGCCAGATCTAGAAATCACATTTTAAGTCAGCATCACTAAAACTTGTGTGGTCATGGGGAATTTTACTGAGAATGGTATAGGAATTGTAAACCAGTGTGACAAGCCTGTGCAATTTAGTAGATAGCTCTTAATTCCTGTAATAATCTATAAAACACATCAGATTTCTTTACTAGTAAAGCTGTTTCAGCTTAATTTTTAGAGGCATAATTTTAACCTTTCTTTACTTCCCTCTTTTGCCCATACTGAAGAGTCAATATGATGTTGTTGTTGTTCTCTCTGGAAATTTTAGGACTCATAGCTGCCCATTATTTACTGTGAGTATCTGTCCTAATTTTAATAATTAGATTTGCTGAAGTGATTGGTTCCCACCTCTGGAATACATAGGAAGGAACTTCACATTTCTCCTGTACCTAATTTAACTTTTTCTTTCAAAAGCAACATTTTTTCTTACATTTGTTGAATATTTAGTGGAGGGATAAGCTTATGATTTTAAAATAAATGGAATGTATGTCATAGTAAAAATTAAAAAAAGAATAAGAAAGAATGTAGGAGAGAGAGTGGGAGCTTGGGTAGGGTGGATATTATGGTGGGAATTATCAGTATGCTCCTGAATCTGTACATAAGATTACATGAAATTTGTTCCCTATTATAAAAATTATTAAAACTAAAAAAAAAAATAGGACCTGAAAGTCATCCTTATTTACCCCAGACATTTTTAATTTTTCTTTGTATAATTTTATATCCTATGTTTGGCAAGCAAGGGAGAACTAGGCTGACCTGGAATCCACAAGGAATATTTAATCCTCCTCTTTTTGTTCCAACTCTAGATATATTAAGTGCTCCAGGAAGGACCTCTCAAAAAGGAATCACTGACTACCACCACCCCAGTCCTCATCAAAGATCAAGAGGTGAATTATCTTCATTTTTCTAACTCTGAACATTTTTTGGAAATGCCCTGGCTTTCCACAGTGGTAAAATGCCGTGGCTCTAATAGCTTTCACTGGCTTTAGAGTCACTCCTTCCCTCTTTGTAGTTTGCTGGCCCCAGTGAGCTTTCATGTCTCTTTGAAGAGGCCTTGTTTTTAACATTTTGTGTATTATTTTTTCCACTGTGGATATGAATTTTTCCATATGCTATTTTTTAATCCTCCTTCCTTCACACAAAGATTTTTTGAGCTTCTGTGTGTCTATGTGGCTAACTTTAATTTTGACATATCTAATTTAAAAAACATTGTCTCAGCTGACTCTCAGGGCTGAGCCCAGCATATTTTCTTATTTGATCTCTAAGCCTTTGTAAGAATGCAGAGGGATTTTTCTCTTTCTTTTGATGTTGAAGTTCAAATGTCTTTGATGCATTTTGTGATCTCAAGGTTGATTTTTTAAAATTTTTTTCATCATTACCTCCCTTACGCCTTACAATTTTACTCTGGGGAATTATCACATTAATGATCTTTGGGATGTTGTCCTTAGGTGAGGAGATTCACAGTCCAGCAATGTCTTCTCTTTCCCAAATTTTCATAGCCTCCCTCCCGATCATCCCATTTTTCTCTCTTGCAGATAATATGTTCATTAAAGGCATCACTGCAACCCAGGTATAGTAGCTGAGTTGCAAGAATTGATCTAAATGTTTTGTCAGACTAAGTGGGTTTTTTGAAATTGGCTTCATTTCTTTCTTGAAGTTTCTGACTTCAATACTTATAAAGGAAGCTTACTAAGACAACATCTCCCTGAAACATTGGGACTTCCTGAGGTAGACGCATAATATATGTCATCTGTTTAAGCAGAATAAGAACGTTTTCTACATTTTTTTTTTACATTTTTGCTTTTTTCAATTTTGTTCATAAATCAGGATGTGCGGTACGTTCAGCCTTTCCATATTTTTAAACCCCTCTTTCCTTGTCTCCTCTCCCCATGATGCTCATTCTGGGCCCCATTTTAAGCTGTGTAAGGAGACAGATATGATAACGGATCCCAGAATTTAGCCCCAGAACCTTTTCCCTCTTCTATTAGAGGAAATATGGGAGTAGGAATTAAAACAACAGGACTTAGAGTTTTCATTACAGCAAAGAGTATAATCTCTCTCCTGGGGAGACAAAGCTTTATCATGTACAGACAAAATGAGACCCTGACATATCTAGACTTCATGTGAACCAAGTTTAGGACAGAAAAATGAGGGCATTACAATTTTCTTTATTTATTTTTTTGCAAACAAAACACAGATTTCACAAATATAAACATGCATATAGCATGCATAATTGAAAATGCATCCAGAGAGAAATGATTCAAGTCCTGTTATTTAGGACTTACAATTTATGGCCCAAGACTTCAATTTTTTGATAAAGTTTCTTTTTTTGATAAAGTTTCAAGAGGGATGAGACAAAAATAGAAATTTGAGAAGTTCAACCTAACCAAAACTATCTCTTACAAAGATTCTCTGCATCTGTAAGTTGTTCCTTCTATTGATAAAAATTAAACATATTTTAAATAGAAGAATTTTATACAATGGGGAATAAGCTCCAAACAGAAATAATAACATTACGGGACAAAATAATTTATAACAATACAACACACAATCAAATTTACCAAGCTTTACAATAGTCATAGCCAAAGGAAAAACAGGATACATGTAGAGTTTGATGCAAAGTAAGGAGCCAAGTATAACTTTTTAGTTTTTTGTAGTTGAAAGTTTGTGTATTTGTAGTTGAAAACCAGAGAGACATACAGAGAGATCTACATCTTCTGCCCACTTATTTACTCTCCAGATGCCCACAACAGACAGGGATGATCCAAGTTGAAGCCAGAAGGCAGGAACTCATTCAAGGTTCCCACCATGAATGGCAGGAATTCAAGTCTTTGGACCACAATATGTCTTTCATTGTACATGTTAGCATGAAACTGGACTTGGAAGCAGACCCAGGAATTGAATCCAGACACTCCAGCATTAGGTGCAAATGTCCTAAGTAGTATCTTAGCCACTATACCAAATGCGCAACCTTGAATATGTTTAATGTATTCAATTAGAACAAGTTTTTTTTTTATAGATTTATTTTATTTATTTGAAAGGCAGAGTTAGAGGAGAGAGAGGTAGAGCCAGAGAAAGAGAGAGAGGTTTTCAATCCATTGGTTCACTCCACAAATAACCACAATGGCCAGAGCTGAGCTGATCTGAAGCTAGCAGCCAGGAGCTTCTTCTGGGTCCCCAACATGGGTGCAGGGGCCCAAGGACTTGGGTCATCTTCTACTGCTTTCCCAGGCCATAGCAGAGAGCTGGATTGGAAGTGGAGCAGCCAGGACTAGAATTGGTGCCCATATGGGATGCTGGAACTTCAGGCCAGGGCTTTAACCCACCATGCCACAGCGCCAGCCTGAGAACAAGTTTTATGGGTACTTAAATCTATTTGGAAAATAATTCTTATGTGTTTCTCTGCATAAGATCCTTTGTCTTTTTCATGATTTACTACACAAGCAATACGTGTGATGTGTTAAAATAATTTTAATCCACACAACAAAATTAGGTGAGGTAATACATTATGCATTTATAAAATAAGGCCAATTACTTCCCTAAGCCCAAAATGTTAAAAAGGTAAAATGGTACATTGCGGGGAATATAAGCCAGGGGTAAGTTTCACACAGTGGTGTAAGACACTAGTACTCAAACAGTATTATTCACTTTGTGTTTCTATGTGGGTGCAAACTGTTGAAATCTTTACTTAATGTATGCTAAACTGATCTGTATATAAAGAGAATTGAAAATGAATCTTGATGTGAATGGAAGGGGAGAGGGAGAGGGAAAGAGGAGGGTTGCGGGTGGGAGGGAAGTTATGGGGGGGGAGCCATTGTAATCCATAAGCTGTACTTTGGAAATTTATATTCATTAAATAAAAGTTAAAAAAAAAGACACCATTTAAAATGCACACATTGGTATTGGAGTGCTGATTGCAGTCCTGGCACCTCCACCCCAACCCAGCTCCCTGGTTAAACAATACATTAAAGCTCAAGATGATGCCTCAACAGTTTGTGCTACTGCCACCCACAAGGAGACATATCTGAGCCCTGGATCTTGGATCCTTGCTCCTGGCTATGGCTTTTTCCAACCCTGACAGTTGTGGTAATTTGAGGAGTGAACTAGCAGATGGAAGATCTCTGTTCCTTTCTTTTAGTTCTGTTTTTGTTCTGCCTTTCAATTAGATAAAGTAAATAAATAGCTGTTTTTTTAAAAAGTACAGATAAAAAAATCATGAAAGGTACAGTGGAAAATAACCTTGTTATCAAAGATAATAGCTTTGAAAATTTCACAAAGAAAGTATCATTTTACAATAAATCATTCTTTGAAGAAATTCATATGGCTTTGCTCATATAAAGTAATTATCATTTAAGTATATGGTATAACTATTGTTAAAGGACAACAACAAAATGATTGTTACAAATGGCCATGGTGACCTCACTGTCATCTGAAACGCCCCAGACTATTATGAGTGGTCTTACTTTAAATTTCTGTGTTGATGCCTGAATCACTTGAAATGCTTTGTGAAGGTAAGAATACTGAATGAATATAAGGCCACTTTTTATATATGCTAGAGTTATAAAATATCTATGCACATTGCTTAGCACTGCACATGGAACACTGATACATTAGTGCTGGCCATTTCAGAAATTTGCTTTATATTAAAATTGAATGAGAATTGTGTATTATAACTCTCATACAAGGAGTTAAGATACTTCCCAGTGTATTCTGTGTTCTTCTCAGTGTGAATGTCATTCTCGGCCATTTTTGTTGATTCTGCTTCTCCTGTGTCTTTATCCAAGGTCAAATGTATGCTATATGTCACCAGGAATACTGAGGTAACCTTTGAAATGTGTTCTTTGCCACTCTGCCTCCCAAATCCTTGCCCAGACTTGTAGCTGTTCATATATGTTTTTAAAATGTATACCCCATTGCTTAAAAAAACACAACTGTCAGGACCAGCATTGTAATACAGCAGAGTAAACCATGATTACGATCCTGACATTCCATTCATAGTGTCAGTTCAAATCTGGGTTGCTGTACTTCCAATCCAACCCCCTGCTAATTCACCTGGAAGAGAAGTGGATGATGGCCCAAGTACTTGGGCCCCGTCACCCATGTGAGAGAACTGGATTGAGTTACAGGCTTCTGTTTTTGTCACTGCTCAACCATCAGCCACCAGAGTTATTTGTAGAGTAAAACAGCAGGTGGAAGATCTTTTTATCTTCCTCACTCTTTAACTCCACCTTTCAAGTCAATTGTTTAAAATCTTTAAAAATCACCATATCATTTGTGAATGAAATACAGTTAAACATTTCAATTTAAATCATCATTTTGTAGTATTTTTCTATGTCTAAACCACTGCTTTAGATATTTGTGCAGTAGAATTTTTGTTTTCAGTTAAGAACGTCGTTCCCTTTTTGTGTCTTTCATTTATATTTTATAATTTTTATTGTAGTGATCTTTCACTTTTTTGGGTAAAATTCATTACAAAATATCTGAATGTAGCTGTTATGAATGGTGATTATTCATGATTTTGCTTTCACAGAGTTCATTACTAGTACATGAAAAAACAACTGCCTTTTTCATGTTGCTTTTGTAAAATGCACCTTTACTGAACTGAATTATCAGTTCCAAGAACATTTTTGTGCAGGGTTTAGATTTTTCCATATACAATAACATCATCTGTTAACAAGAATATTTTGAGTTTCTCCATTCCAATTTTGTGGCCTTTCTTTCTCCTCCCTATTTGATCCTCTTTATATTTCTAATATCATACAGAATAACAGTGTTGAAACTAATAATGTTTTGTTCCAGACCTGAGAGGAAATGATTTCAGCATTTCCCCATTCAGTATGATTTTGACAAGATGCCAAAAGGTAGCCTTTATAATTTTGAGGTCAGCTCTTATATTAAATTTTTGATGGGCCATTAGCTTGAAGCATTCTTGAATTTTGCGAAGTGCTTTTCCTCATATATTTAGATGCTTATATTTCTTGTACATTCTATTGACATGGTTTATGGTGATTTTTATTTGTGAAGGTTGAATCACCTCTGCATCTCTTAGATAAATCACACTTGATCTGATAAACTATCTTGTAGATGTGTTGGATTTGGGTTGCTAGGCTTTGGTTGATAACATCTGCATCTATTTTCACCAAGGACATTGATTTGTAGCTTTGCTTTTATATTGTGTCCTGTTCTGTTTTGGTATCAGAGTGATCTGTAAGAGGTTTGGCAGATTCACATCCTATTCATATTTTTGTATATGATTTAAAAGGTGTTTGAGTTAGTTCTTCTTAAATATTTTGTAGAATTCAGTAGTAAAGGGTATCTGGATATTAAATTATTAATATTAATGAATCTAAAGGGAGACAATCAATTTATTTTTTTTGACAGGCAGAGTGGACAGTGAGAGAGACAGAGAGAAAGGTCTTCCTTTTGCCATTGGTTCACCCTCCAATGGCCGCTGTGGCCAGCGCACTGTGGCCAGCACACCACGCTGATCCGAAGCCAGGAGCCAGGTGCTTCTCCTGGTGTCCCATGGGGTGCAGGGCCCAAGCACTTGGGCCATTCTCCACTGCACTCCCAGGCCACAGCAGACAGGTGGCCTGGCAGAGGGGCAACTGGGACAGAATCCGGTGCCCCGACTCAGACTAGAACCCAGTGTGCTGGTGCTGCAAGGCAGAGGATTAGCCTAGTGAACCACGGTGCTGGCCAGAGACAATCAATTTAACACAATAGTAAGGGAGGACATCAACAACACCCCACTTTCTTCAATGGACATATCAACTAGACAAAAAATCAGTAAAGAAACAAGAGCTAATCAAAACTCTGGACCAAATGTACCTAGCTGGTATCTACAGAACTTATTTTTTTTAAAGATGTATTTTATTTGGGGTAAGTCCAATAGAGCATGTGCAAAACTGTACAGTTAGAAATGTGCCAGGGGATTCCAATTCAGTCCCTTCAAGGTGGCATGTACCAATGCCATCTCACTAGTCAAAGTGATCAGTTTCAGTTCATAATTGATCATAATGAGAGAATTAAGTGTCAAAAGGATCACATAAACAAGACTAGTGTCTGCTAATATTAACTGATAGAATTAAAATGAGAAAATTATACAACATGGGAAGTTGGATACACAGCAGACTCAGAATTTTAGATGTCCTAAACAGCACTCTGGCCTCAGAATCAGCCCTTAAGGCATTCAGATCTGTCTAATAAGCCCATGAGAGTGTTTCAGGCATGGAAAGCCAAGACACTCTGGCAAAAAAAAAAAAATAGCCTAAATGAAAGATCTCTGTCAGTGAGATCCCAGAGGAAAGAATGGGCCATCAAAGAAGGAGGTACCTTTCTCTGAAGGGAGGAGAGAGCTTCCACTTTGGCTGTGGCCTTGTTAAATAAGATCAGAGTTGGTGAACTCAAGCAGCATCCATAGCCTTGGCAGCTCATGACAAGAGCCTCCAGTGAGTGTCAACTGGGGGAGAGAGAAAGAGAGGAGCAGACTTGGCAGGGACTGGGGGACAGGGCGGAGAGAGCAAGAGAGGGAGGCAGTGAGCAGTGAGCGAGCATGCCAGGAGTCAGTGAGAAGGGGCAAAGCTGCCACTCCTGCCTGAGGCACCACAGATGGGAGTGGGGGAGGCAGGGAAGGAACACAGAGGGAAGAAGAAAGGCCAAGAGGAGAAGGTGGCCGGAGGCAGTGGCGGCTGCTGCTGCTGCTGCTGCTGCTGCTGGTGGTTATAGGGGAGAAGGAGGAGCAGGTGGAGGGCAGGGGTTGAGGGAGTGAATGAGAGAAGCAAATGCGTGAGGGAGGGGAGGGAAGGGAGGGTCACGCGGGGGCACACATGCGCACAGGAAGCACTCTCAGAGGCGAGTGTAACTGGATCGGGTTTGCTGCCAGCGGTATGAGCTTTGGCCGCCATTTTACAACAGCTCCACTTGCAGGGATACAGGGAGCAGGGAGCATGCAACCCAATCCCCTGGGACAGGATTCCTTGGCCATAGCCCAAAGGGGAGGGCTAGTTGCACATAGTGATTTAGATGAAAGAGCTATTGAAGCTTTGAAAGAATTCAATGAAGACGGTGCATTGGCAATTTTTCAGCAGTTTAATGACAGTGATCTCTCTCATGTTCAGAACAAAAGTGCCTTTTTATGTGGAGTCATGAAGACTTAAAGGCAGAGAGAAAAACAGGGGACCAAAGTAGCGGACTCTAGTAAAGGACCAGATGAGACAAAAATTAAAGCACTCTTGGGAAGAACAGGCTACACACTTGATGTGACCACTGGACAGAGGAAGTATGGGGGACTGCCTCCAGATTCTGTTTATTCAGGTCAGCAGCCTTCTGTTGGCATTGAGATATTTGTGGGGAAGATCCCAAGCAATCTATTTGAGGATGTGCTTGTTCCGTTATTTGAGAAAGCTGGACCTATTTGGGATCTTCGTCTTATGATGGATCCACTCACTGGTCTCAATAGAGGTTATGCATTTGTCACTTTTTGTACAAAAAAAAGCAGCTCAGGAGGTTTTTAAACTGTATAATAATCATGAAATTCGTTCTGGAAAACATATTGGTGTCTGCATCTCGGTTGCCAACAATAGGCTTTTTGTGGGCTCTATTCCTAAGAGTAAAACCAAGGAACAGATTCTTGAAGAATTTAGCAAAGTAACAGAGGGTCTTACAGACGTCATTTTATACCACCAACCAGATGACAAGAAAAAAAAAAAAAACAGGCTTTTGCTTTCTTGAATATGAAGATCACAAAACAGCTGCCCAGGCAAGATGTAGGCTAATGAGTGGTAAAGTCAAGGTCTGGAAAAATGTTGGAACTGTTGAATGGGCTGATCCTATAGAGGATCCTGATCCTGAGGTTATGGCAAAGGTGAAGGTACTTTTTGTATGTAACCTTGCCAATACTGTAACAGAAGAGATTTTAGAAAAGGCATTTAGTCAGTTTGGAAAACTGGAATGAATGAGGAAACTGAAAGATTATGCATTCATTCATTTTGATGAACGAGATGGTGCTGTTAAGGCTATGGAAGAAATGAATGTCAAAGACTTGGAGGGAGAAAACATTGAAATTGTTTTTGCTAAGCCACCAGATCAGAAAAGGAAAGAAAGAAAAGCTCAGAGGCAAGCAGCAATCAAATGTATGATGATTACTGCTATTATGGTCCAACTCATATGCCCCCTCCAACAAGAGGTCGAGGGCGTGGAGGTAGAGGTGGTTATGAATATCCTCCAGATTATTATGGATATGAAGATTATTATGATTATTTTGGCTATGATTACCATAACTGTCATGGTGGATATGAAGATCCATACTATGGTTATGAAGATTTTCAAGTTGGAGCTAGAGGAAGGGGTGGTAGAGGAGTAAGGGGTGCTGCTCCATCCAGAGGTCATGGGGCTGCTCCTCCCTGTGGTAGAGCCAGTTATTCACAGAGAGGAGGTCCTGGATCAGCAAGAGGCATTGGTGGTGTGAGAGGAGGTGTTCAAAAACAAAGAGGTCATGGGCAGGGAAAAGGGGTCGAGGCCTGTCCTGACCTGTTACAATGAAGACAGACTTGCTATGTGGGATTACACCAGAAGCTTGCAGTGGAGTAATGGTAAGGAAATCAAGCAACCTTAAATATCTTGGCTGTATAGGAGCATATTCTATTGCAGAAGACCTTCCTATGAAGATCATGGAATCAAATCCGGGACATTGAACTAATACTTGGACTTTGATATGAATTTCTTTAACAATTTTCTATGCAGTGCAAGTTATTAAACTAAAGCTACTCTATTTTCCAAATGTGTTCCAACAGAAATCCTTCATAACTTCTAGCATGAT